CATGAAGATTGGGGTCCAACGCCTTGCCAAAATTGTCATATTATCTATCATATTCTTTGGGTACTATGCTCTTGGGATTATGCATGAGATCGCATATACGCCTGGTCTGTCTGGAATTGAGGGTGATCAGGTCTATAAACCGTACAGTATGCCCGGCTTCCGGTACATGAAACCTGGTTATATATACATCTTGTCGCATCGCCTGACATAATAGTCCTATGTTTAATGATGAACCTATCTCTGATAGACCCAGATATAAAAGCTCTTGTTCTAACTAAAAAGAAGAAGGACAAATCTTTGTATTTTATTCTCCGTACTCTATACCAATCCATACATTTGACGTCTACAGCTCTTCCCTGACTGACTATCTTTTTAAAAAAAATCTTACAGTAATTTAAATGGTTCAAGTAGTTCAGGCAGTATGTGATTATCATTGATATAAAGTTCGATGTTCAAAGACTCCGTAGAGGGTATCGCTAAGTATAAGCCGTATAGTATATATAACTTCTGAGCCCGTTCTAGATTTGGGGCATCTTTTATAAGCAATTAAGTCCCTAATTCAGCCGGACCATATGTTACATGGCTCTAATAGTCAGATTCTTCCATGTAAATACGACATTAGGCAAATTTCTCTACGTAGATACTAAAGCCTGTGATCAAAGTTTCAAATGTTAATTGCTCGTTAAGTCTACAATAGTCTGTTACCTGCGATAAGCCCTTCACTTCAAAGCGATAAACTGTCAGTTATACTGCGTTGGACCTTAATGGTTAGTTCTTGAACGTCTAGTTACTAGTTAGCTGGAGCTCGCGGTGACCGTTGCTAATTCCGGCCCGGAGTACGGAGTAACTACGCGTTAACTATCGTAGTGGATACAAGTCTTGTCCCGCGCGGTCCGCAAATCTACCCCGCTCCCGTGCCAAGCTATATCAAGGGAACTTAAGGTTCATTTATAAAACTTACCATTCCGCGCCGGTTCCACTGCGCCACTATTCCGTACAATGGGCGGAATGCCGGACCAACTCAGGTGCCCAGTTTCGTGTCCTATTGCTCAATAATTGTCCTTTCCCCCCAACAACTGAGAACGCGAGGACAGTGAGGTCCCGAAGACTTGCGCACTTGCCTTCTTGGGGAATACTGCCAATTGAAGAATAATGGGTGGTGGGCTGCTGACCACGCGAATTAGTTTTCGGTGGTCCTGTGACCCCTCATTGATAAGAGCTTACAAAAGAGTCAAGGCCGTGGGGGCCCCAAAGTATTGTGCCCAGAGAGTCAGCACACTTTCCAGCCTATGATAGCGCTTATTGAGATTGATTTGTCTGTGTATCTCGCTTACATATCGATCTTCCTGCTCCATTTCGAATTTTTTAGATTTAGTCCATATTTTCATTGGATTTAGGAGCATAGACTAAATTTTTAGGGTCGGCGTTCGATGGCTGGTCCAGACGATCCGTTCGATGGCATTGGTGGATTCTACTAGAGTTATGGAGCCATACTGAACGCCGGGGAAATATAAACTTTACCATAGCTGTTAGTTTCTTCCTTCCCTGCGGTTGACATCCTACGCGAGGTTGATTTGAATCTGAGCAAATTTTAACGAATGTCACTGTTGCATTATGATATAATCTTATGATTACAAACCAGACAGAGGGATGTGTACTCTTTTGTGTTCACTTAGTTGTCATTGCTAGCAGTAGTTGCTCAATCCCGAATGCTATGACTACCAGGTGTTATTAGAGCCCCGATAGGCCTGAGCATTCCACAGGTGTTCCAGACTTTTGATTAATTGACATGGGCATTGCTATGCAAGTTATGATGTTAGTTTCAAATTGACTTTTGCTAAATGTAAGGAACAAAGAAAAGCGCGGAAAGAAGAGAATAGAAAAGAAAGGAAAGGAAAGGAGAAAAGGAAATAAGAAAAACAAGATCCAGATCGCCGAAGGTCCTTCCGATTCTGACTGATCCACCGAGATCCCCCACGTTCTTGGGTATTGCCATCATTTAAATCTCCAGTCACCGCCTGCGACCAGACGTTTAAGGGGTATGCTATAAATCTCTGCTTGTGTCCATATTTTACTTTTCACCGTAAAAGAGAGAGGAAAAAAAAGAAAGGAAAGACCCATTTTATCCGGCTGAAAATACTGGATTTGGATACCATGGCATCTGAAAAGGAGGCAGCTGGTGGAGGGATTTCTAGTTACAACTCTGACCTAGAAACCTCAAAGCCAGGTATCGAACAACTTGAGGTGATTGCTGACCCTGACGATGGTTTATCTGAAGAGGAGAAGGCAATAATAGTATGCAACTCGCTTTTAGAAGTAACATGCAGGTCGGCTGATCTTCTTAGGATCGACGTTTGCTGAGGAAATTAGATATGCGTCTCATCCCGTGGCTGTCCTTACTCTATCTAGCATCATTTCTTGACCGCACAAATATTGGAAATGCAAAATTGGATGGTCTCCAGGAAGCACTTCATATGACTGGTGGTCAATACAATGCTTCGCTGACCATCTTCTTCATCTCCTATTCTATCTTTGAGCCCCTTACAAACGTACTGCTCAAACGGACACTTCCCAGTATTTTTATCCCAACAATCATCGTGCTCTGGGTATGTAATGTGACATAATGGCTGAAAAAGAAACAGTTCTGATCGGAAATTATCATTATCCAGGGCATTTGCATGACAACAATGGGACTTGTACACAACTTTTCCGGTCTCATGGCTGCACGATGGTTTCTTGGATTAGCTGAAGCCGGTCTTTTCCCGGGCATTAGCTACTATCTTTCCTGCTGGTATAAACGGTCTGAATTCGGTATTCGGATGGCCATATTCTTTTCTGCTGCTGCGCTAGCGGGCTCGTTTGGCGGTCTTCTGGCAGCTGCCATTGCCAAGATGGATAAGGTGGGTGGAAAGGATGGATGGGCATGGATCTTCATCCTAGAGGGCCTTGCAACCGTCGTCATTGGGGTGCTTTCCTTCTGGCTGGTGTACGACTTTCCGGATAAAGCTAAATTCCTATCTGACACGGACCGAAAGCGCGTAATGCGCCGTCTGGCTCTAGACCAGCAATCCAGTACTGCAAAGGAGCACGAGTGGAAATCCTCATATATGTGGGACAGCCTGAAAGACCATAAGACTTGGCTCGGTGCTATTATTTATATGGGTGCTGATGGAGCATTATATGCTTTTTCATTGTTCTTACCAACCATTATCAAAGAACTAGTAAGCTAGCCAAGTGTTCAAATTTCTTCAGAACGATATCACTAACTATCTACTAATCCAGGGTATTTTAAATGGTTTTATTCGTCCAGTGATTTTCTTTGCTGACAAAGATCAGGATACTCATCTACACGTGCACAGCTCCTCAGTGTGCCTCCTTATGCTTGCGCTGCTATCCTAACAGTCTCGGTTGGCTACATAGCTGATCGCACACGTCAGAGAGGAATCTATAACATTCTCGCATCCATCTTGGGAATAGTTGGTTTCTCAATGTTACTAGGCACGAATTCGCCCGGTGTTAAATATGCTGGGGTCTTCCTTGGGGCTATGGGCATTTATCCCTGCATTGCTAATACTATTGCCTGGGTCAGCAACAACGTAGAGGGTCAGTCATTCTTTTTGTTAACATATGCTCCCATAATTCAGAGCTTACAGTATATATCTATATGCAATTGCTGATGCTATCGAACTTAGGCATCTACAAACGTGGTGTTACCATCGGAATCATGATCGGATGGGGAAACTTGAACGGTATCATGTCCTCCAATATATATCGCAATGCCGATGCACCGAACTACTATCCCGGCCACGGCACGGTTCTAGCGTACTTGACCCTCTTTTTGTTTATTGGATCCGTTTTAGAATATTTTCTGCTGAAGAGGGAAAACCGAAAACGTCAACGTGGCGATAGGGATCATCGTGTTGAGGGATTAACTTCTGAAGAAATTGCACAGCTCGGCGACAAGAGGCCTGACTTCATCTACACGATATAGCCTCCTCTGGTGGCGGCATCCTTGCGATATTTGAAGAAGGTGCTTTATTTCTTTTTAGAATGGATTGAAAGATGTGTTCGCGAACTAGGACGTATGTTGTTTCCCATTGAGCTTTGCAGATAATTCAGGCCCCACAATATAGTAAAGGAATTCAGTAAACTACTGAGTAAACTACTGCAGGACTAGTATTGCGTCCAGCCAACCCACATTGGGCCTCGCTCAGTCGAGATTTACTCGCACAGATGCGAATTTTCCTCTCTTCCACCTTTGTCAGAACTTTTTCCTTGTTTAAAGCAAACACAAGCTCGAGAGCCCAGGACGGTCCCATCGGTTATCCGCCAGCATCAGCATCATGCTGATACTTAAAACTCTATTATTACTCTCAATTTATTTTCCATGTATCACGGCGGTAGATTTTAATCGATCTGCAGTATTCTCTTCCCTCTCACCTCGGGCGCAAGAAGCTGCCATATCCAGCGCAGCTTCGGCAGAACACAACCATATGACAAAGTGAACTCTCCAGATGGACGTAAGCCTACTTTCAGACCCCCAACATCCAGCTCCTGCAGAAGCTCACTGAGTATTAATATTAACCTTGGCGTCGCGAGAACTTCCTGATGCATGACGAGCTGCGCGGGTATCTGGAGAACAATGTTGGTTTGCCGTTCTTCAGGTGTCTGGAAGCTCTAGCTTTTTCATCAATAGTTCACAATCAATGCTCTCAGAGAATTTGCATACGGGCCACAAGCCGGTTCCCCACGCCTGCAAAAAGCAGTTGCATCATTCATGACTTACCAGTTTCGCGCAATTGACAGTCTCCTCTGACCAAATTGTCGTTGGATCCGGTGTCACTGGTCTAATTGACTCGATCACATGGAGTATATGTGACGAAGGAGAGGGCATACTAACCCCCAGGCCCTTGTATGACACTTTTCTAACCGATACGAGCTTGCGGAGCGATGGCAAGCTTTTACCAGTTTCTTTTTCCTGGGAGAATCAAACATACTCCATGAATAGTGTATTCAATGCCGCTGAAAACAGGGCATCTCTCGAACGGGCATATATCAATTACACAAGGGCAGGTATCAAGGTCAGGAGTCTTATTATTACAAAGTAAGCCACTCATACATACCTTATCTCAACGAACCAAGGGCTTTCCGAATGACAATGCATAAGCCCGCATAATCCATTGGGCTGCTATTATGTAAGTTATTATATCGTTCTATTCTAATCACCGAAAGCTAATGTTTCTTTCTTCAGTCCACAGAAGCATTACAAGACATCGCCCGTTTCTGCAATAAGCACAACATCCATATGATCTCCGACGAGATTTACGCACATTCGACATACTCAAACGAGCAATTTCCGAACGCTACTACTTTCAACTCCATCCTCTCCCTAGATCTAAGCGAGATCATCGATCAGAATCTAGTTCATATCTTGTACGGCATAAGCAAGGACTATGGAGCAAGTGGACTCCGTGTCGGGGTACTTCAGTCACGCAATAAGAACCTAACTGACGCTGTCTCCGCCCTAAAGTAATAGACAAGATAGCGGCATCACCTTGTCATAATGGGATCGATTGTTGACCAGACCACCCAACAGCTTATTATCCTGGCCATCCTTCATGGTCCAGAACATATGGGCACGTGTTCTTGAAGACACGGCCTTTCTGCAATACTTTTTCCACACGTATTCCGAGCGTCTAACAAAAAGCTACAGTCACGTCAGAGATTATATGGAAGACCATGGAATAGAGTATTTTAGGGGAACGTAAGGGCTCCCATTATTTTCTACTTGTTACTTGCTGATATTCATCCTCGATAGCAATGCTGGGCTGTTTGTATGGGCTCGGATACTCCCTTATCCTGATGACAACGGAACAGACGAATATTCTAAGCTGAAGGAAAGGTTCCTGGAGATCTGTCTCGGTAATGGTGTGAACATCGCGGATGGAGATAGTTTTATTCCAGACAATCCTGAAAATTGGTGGTTTCGAATTACATTTTCATATGACGAAGACAGATTGAGTGTCGGTCTGGAACGACTGACAAGAAGTTTAAGGCAGATCAAGATTGAAATGCTGACCTAGGTAGGAACTCCTGAGACTATCTAGTGGGGAAACTCCTAGTCTCTGAACCATACACAGGCTTTGTGGTTGGACGTTGACATATTTACCCGATCTATTACATAGCAGAAATAGAACATTTCATGGGCTTCTTGGTTGGGCCTCAATTACTCACAGTCTAGATTGTATGACAAGTTTTTTTAAAAAGCAGAAAGTTTTTCTAGGTGATGTGTATGCCATCTTACCGTACATGAGATTTTGGGCAGGATTGTACGCCGTTAGTATCAGCGGAGGCGTATCCGGTTCCAAGGTTGGTCCAAAAGATTGCCCTTTATGCCAGTTGTAGACTCGGAAGGCAATGGTGAGGGTATAAATAAGGCTGTAATGAACCGACAAACAGATTGGAAGTTATGGTTTCAATTACAAGCGTAGCTATCTACGAAGAAGTGAAATTCCACCAATCCTCAATTGCCCTTCCGTAGCTCTCCGGCGCCAAAAAGAGATTATCATTCAGCATCCCTTCCGCCGGTGTGTCGATCAAGCCAAAAGGCTCCGCAGATGGAGCCTGTTGCATATCCGGTCTGGATGTAAAAGAAGCCGGTGGGGTCGAAACAGACTCCGGTGGATACGCAACAACTTCTTTGGCCACTGTCTTATGGCCAGATATCCCTGCTGACCCAACCAGAGGAAAGTCTGGATCTGGAGTCATGAATCTAGAGTCTGTATGCTTAGCGTTAGGGTCAGATAGTGTTGTTCCAAAGAAATCATTAGAAGATTGGGAGCTGCTGGCCCGGTCATAGACCAGTAATTCCCACAGAAGTTTTGCGTTATTGGACCACGACTGGCTGTTTGTGCTTGCGGAAACGCCTTCCCGTAGACGGTGTAATTTTTGCATCTGTTACATTAGCGATGTGCTGCAAAGGTTGTTCGCGGTGGTCGCCAGTACGAACCATATTTCTGACATGGGGCCATCGCTCTCCCAATGGCTGGAGAAAACGCACACACTTATTATAGCCATTTCTCGCCGTATCTCGCAGCCCTTGATCATCGACAAAGCTATGTTGAAGATGTATAGTAGCGACAATAACTACACAGTGGGCCAAGATGGGGTCGCAGATCTCAAACCCCTTATGCTCTACAAGGTCAATCAAGTGCAGAATCCAACTTGCGTGAAGAGTAATGTTCTCAAACGACTGCCGAATGAAAGAGTGGGGCATGGTATGTCTGAAGCTTCGTAATCTCATCGATAGTAGGAATGGGTGATTCAGTAAGCACGGAATTGTTTCAAACATAATCTGGACAAAAAGCCAGGGCCCCCAGAAGTCACGACGTTGGTTTAATTCCTGTAAACTGTGATTTTGCAGGTTCTCTGCATGGTACCGGTATTTTAGTGGGACAAGACTGTCAAACTCAGTATGTCGAAACGAGACCACAGAGTAATCGGATTCAGGAAACCAGGGGGGAAGAGAGACTGGATCGACTTTGGTGGCGGCGTAGTTCATTGCCAGGGCCCACACCTCACTCAGTTGAATAGTGTAGGAGACGAGACCAAGGTCCTCCTTTGTGTTAGATCCACGTGGCTCTCTGATTGACGGTGGGGTGTATTTAGGCGATAATCCCGAACCGGTGTTGAAGGGCGTGTGAACACCTGATATAAGTCGACTTGTTTGAATGCCGTCCCCTTGAAGATGTCGCAGCATATAAATGCTCCAAGAACAGCGACGCTTCTCGTCCGCATCTGTTTGGATATTGGCCAGAATTTCACCAGTAATGCTGACGCTTTGTGCTAGATAGGCCGCCATGTTCAAAGTCAATCCTGCCTGGATGGTATGTCCCACTATCATGAGTCAATAATGAGAAACTTAGAATTTTGAAGATTCCTCACCTGAGAACTCGAACGTAGCCAGTAGACAAAGCGTCTGTAAAGCTGAGAGCTCCAAGTCCCCATTGTTAATCCGGTCCATAACCAGAGAGCGAGCATCTTTGGCATATTGCAAGATACGTGCTTCCCCAATTTCTACTTCGCGTTCGAACCGCAGACTGATCGCCTGGATTGCAAGAATAAGTTCCGGATCTCGAGTAGCGATAGTTTCGACGAAGTCTCCGCATCAAATAAAGGAAGTGGTTGATAGTTACAAAAGTTGAGATACAGTTCAGCAGCTCTCAAGATTGAGCTCTGGTTATCAAGATCTCTTCTTGAGTCTCCGGTATGTTCATTTCGTGGGCGAGACTCCATCTGAACAGTCACCGGCGTCATTGTCTGCCTAGAACTACTATAGTCTATATTAGTATCGGCTCTTATAGATTATAGTTTTATATAAACCCACCTCAAGCTACTTATTAATTCCTCCAACCTCCCCTCCACATTTTCCAGCCGCCTCGCCTACCAAATTAGCCGTGACCATCACCGGAAGGGTCGGATATATACGTGCCATTTCAGTGGCGCCAGGACCTAAGTCTGCAGAGTCAGAGTACACGCATTGTTGGCCCAGCCTATCACAGTACGAACAGACTGGTCTCTCGCCTGGGCATCGTGACTTTTTACGACTGTAAATGTCAGAAGTTATCTGTTGCGAGTGCAGTTATCCTTACCGGCATGGATCACAGGCTTGGCGGGCACGTTTGGGCGGTCGGTAGTCATCAGTCGACATCTTTGAGTTGAGCTGATGATATTGCTTTGGTGTGACTCTGATGCCTCAAAAGTACTATTGAGATTGCGATGATTGGGTAGCCTTCTTATAGCTTATGCTAGCTTGCACGCTAAAAGTCTGATACTGCAAGGCTACCTTATCTTTCAGTGCGGGGTAAAGTGGAGGGAGATATCTATCGAGGGAGAATCAGGGCCACTTGAATGGCTGATCAAGGTCAAGGATTTTGGTAGACTTTATCTCATTGATTCACCTTTTACAATTTTCTATATCAGCTGACCAGTCCATGATCTATACTAATTAATTTTGAGCAGCTACGCGCCAACTACAATGCAGTGTAGCTTTAACACTGACAATGAACGCGACTTTCCCCCAGGGAACATTAACATGAATTTGTTACAATTTGCTCTGTTCTTCAACGGTCAACATCCGTAAAGGGGGTCCTCCCCGGCTTCCATCGCCGATCTTCAAATCCCCACTGCCGTCTGGCAAACGAAGCCTCCATTTCTGTTGGAGGATTTCTGGAGCACAGTTTTCATAGCGGTCGGCTATGTACCGACCAAGAACAGGTAAGAATTTGAAGCCACTGTGGTACCTGAGTTAGTGAAGGCATAGAGCAGACCTTGATTACAACTTACTGTCCAGCCCCTCCGATAGCAACAAAAAGCCCATCAATCTGAGGGTGATAGTCAACAACAAAGTCACCCTCTGGGGTGTCCGTATACCAACACAGGCGACGATTCGACCAGGGGCGATCGGCAAAACGTGGGATGAGCTGTCGAAGACCATGTCGTAGTGCGTTATCTGCCTCTTGAGGAAGGAAAGATTTGTTGGCATTGTTCGAGTCCAGCTTTGGCGAGGACACGGCTCGATTAGTAGCATCGGAGCGTATGGAAGTTGCAAAGCCATAGCTGTGTCGGGCAACTTTGAGAACGTTTGTTCCCGGCGTTGGAGGGAAACAGAATATGCCACTTGATAAGTTGATCATCACAGGTGTCTTGGCGATACTGCGAGCCTCTTCTGGGCTGAGTTGGATGAAGCCTACAGGCTGTCCTGATGCAGATGCTGTATGGGCTACATCCAGAAGCAAATTTGACCATGCGCCGGTACTCAGGATAACCTTATTTGCAGGAATGAAGTCTCCAATGGCCACATTCACACCAACAACACGGGATCCCTGTCTCCGTAATGAGAGAACTGTTCCCCGTGGCCCAGTGACGAAGGACACGCCCGCCTGACTACATCTGTGACTTAAGTGACGAATACTTCCCTCAGCATCTGCCCAGCCGCCTTCAGGGTTATGATATGCCCGAAGACTACTGAGGTCAGCGTGGAGATCCGGATACATCTCTTTCAGGCCATTCCCATTCACAAACTCTTTCAGTGACCGACCTTGATCATGGATAATTTCCAGTGTTTTCTCGATGTAAGGATTTGACGCTGTCTCTGATAGCATCACAAACCCTGTATGGTGATAGTAGTCTCTGTACTCTGATTTCCAACCCTTAAGAGCCTCTTGAGCCATTCGGGAATACACAGGGTCGGCATATTCGGATCGGATAATTCGAGAAATGTCAACGCTGCTACCATCTGGGACCGGAGGCGGATAGCGGTCGAGAACAGTAACGTTTTTGTACCCGCGAGTGCTTAATTCGAGTGCCGTCGATAGGCCGAAGACGCCTGCGCCTATGATGAGAATAGTGTCTGTCTTAGACGGAGTTCTGTTTTCCATCTCAGCTAAGTACGATACACGCAATGGCTCTGCAGAAGTTGAAAGGAGAACAATTATGCTTTACTCAAGGAAGAGTTGTTAGTATACCCTGAGTGAAATAATGGTCCAAAGACAGATCAACAGGCAATCCAAAGGGATTATACGTACTCCGTACTGGCCAGGGCGGACCCGGTCCGTCCTCCGTCCCCACCCGGAGGGCGTAATGTCACAACTCTGATAGGAAGAGTTTGATAGCCTCAGGCATATGATAGATTAACGGGGTAGCTTGATTAGGCCATAATTAATTCTATTCATGAACTGCTTCTGTGAGATATATATCTATTATCATGGAGCATTCCAAAGAAAGCACTACCAATACTTAGAGCGACCTCCTCTAGGATTCGGGGAAGCTAAGAAACCATCTAACGGTCAACGACTGAATATCTCACCTTTGATTTGGTTCCATTGTTTGATTTTGAGTGTGAAAGAATTACCCAGTAATATTAAAGGCTGGGTAGTGACTATTATGGCATAAAATTACAAAATGCACGTTCTCTTATTAAGTTCAGTCGATACAGCTCTACTAGCTATCAAAGATATAACAACCGTTGAATACCAGGAAGAGTACATTTTTCACTCAAATTAACTTCTGTATATTTAACCTTCACCAATTTCCTAGAGTAGTAGTGTATGACATACTCCAGTAACTCTCGAGTACCTCATTTAAATAGATATATAGTCACCCTATATTTCACCATATAAAAAAGCTGTTGAATAAATTGAAGAGTGGTAGGAAAGCTTTCACAAATGCTTGGCGTCATAGCTCCGCACTAGTCCACTTTCACTGTCGCTATCATGTGACTGGTGTTAGTCAGCGATCACCAGCGAGTCCCGCCGCCAAACGTCGTCGGGCGCTGAAGGTATTTTCATCATCATCGGCATCCACGCACTGCACCCTACACCATCCCCTAGAGTTCCGCGATCACAGGGTATGATCCGGATGTAGCTATTGCTACCCCTTCCTGGGATTATATGTTCTCTGTCTGATCTCTGAGCGACTCTTTACTGTCACCATGTCTGACTGTACGTGTCACCCTATGGCTTGATCCACCCCGTGACTAACCCCTTTCGCAGCCGATTTCGAAGCCGTCCGGAGGCTCCAAGCTGAGCGGAATGCCGCTGCAGCTGGAAAAAAGGTTCTAGGACCTTTGATTCGTCTAGCCAGCGCACTGACAACTCGACCAAGGCCTCCCTGACTGAATCCTTCGACACCACCCTTTACGAACGCGAAGGCGCCGACAGGTTTGCGGGCTACGACACTTCGATCGCCGTCAATGGTGATGACGAGGAGATGGAGGATGCGGATGGTGGCCACCGTCTGGTGGGACAGTACACCGCAACCAAGAGTCAGATGGATGAATTTGCCCACGGTAATGGAGTGGAGGAAGAAGACATCCTTCTCGGCCGCGAGAAGGCGGCGAGGATTGCAGACCGCGAGACAGACTACCAAAAGCGTCGATTCAACCGTGGCCCTTTGACCCCCACCAGAGCGGACCCTTTCGCTGCAAACACTCATGCGAACGTTGAGGGAGAGGGCCAGACGTATCGTGAAGTCATGGCTCTGCGTGAGCTTGAAAAAGAAGAAGAGCGTGTTCAGAAGCTGATCGCAGAAAAACAGGCCAGTGGTGAGAACGATGTCGCAGAACATGAGGCCACGTTGAAGTTGGAGGACAAAGAAAACGCTGACGCCGGCTCGACCGTCTCCGTTGCTACGGGACGCAAGCGCAAGCAACGATGGGATGTGGCTTCCGAGTCGACCGAAGCAGCTCCTGAGGCTCCCGAGCCCCAAGAGGCAAAGAAGAAATCACGCTGGGATCAAACGCCCTCCCTTCCGGTCCCGGGCGCCGCCGAGGAAGCACCTAAACGTCGATCGCGATGGGACCAGGCGCCATCTATCACATCAGCCACCCCTGTTGGCAACCAGGGGCTCGCGACTCCTATGCACCCTTCGCAAGCAGGTGCCGCGCTGATTCCAACCAGCTTTGGAACTGATATCTCTGGCCGCAATGCCCCCTTGTCGGATGAGGAGCTTGACATGATGCTCCCGGGCGAGGCCGATGGTTACAAAATCCTTGACCCCCCTCCGGGATATGCGCCAATCCGAAACCCCGCAAGGAAACTCATGTCGACACCGGCTCCCATGGCCAGCGCGACAGGTGTCGGGGGCTTCATGATGCAAGAACCCGAAAGCGCCCGAGCTCTAGGCAAGCAGCTCCCAACAGAAATCCCAGGAGTCGGCGATCTTCAGTTCTTCAAGCCCGAGGATATGGCATACTTCGGAAAGCTTATGGAAGGTGGAGACGAGAGCGTGATGTCCGTGGACGAGCTGAAGGAGCGAAAGATCATGAGGCTGCTGTTGAAGGTTAAAAACGGTACACCACCAATGAGAAAGACTGCCCTGCGTCAACTCACAGATAACGCACGTCAATTTGGAGCCGGCCCCTTGTTTAACCAGATCCTTCCGTTGCTCATGGAGAAATCGCTTGAGGACCAAGAGCGTCACTTGTTGGTCAAGGTCATTGATCGTGTTCTCTACAAGCTGGATGATCTTGTCCGCCCCTACGTGCATAAGATTCTCGTCGTCATTGAGCCGTTGCTCATTGACCAGGATTATTATGCTCGTGTCGAGGGTAGAGAGATCATCTCCAACCTAGCAAAGGCAGCCGGTCTTGCTACCATGATTAGTACCATGCGTCCCGATATCGATCATGTCGATGAGTATGTCAGAAATACAACCGCCCGAGCATTCGCCGTGGTCGCCTCTGCACTTGGTATTCCCGCTCTCCTTCCCTTCCTCCGTGCTGTGTGTCGCAGCAAAAAATCTTGGCAGGCAAGACACACTGGTGTCAAGATTGTTCAGCAAATCCCCATCCTTATGGGTTGTGCTATTCTTCCTCATTTGAAGGGTCTGGTGGACTGCATTGCCGATAATCTTAGCGACGAGCAAGCCAAAGTCAGAACAGTTACCGCTTTAGCAGTAGCAGCCTTAGCTGAGGCAGCTAACCCCTATGGTATCGAAAGCTTCGATGAGATCCTCAATCCTCTTTGGACGGGTGCTAGGAAGCAGCGTGGTAAAGGTCTAGCTGCATTCCTTAAGGCTGTTGGATATATCATTCCTCTCATGGACGAGGAATATGCCAATTACTATACCAGTCAAATCATGGAAATTTTGCTCCGGGAGTTCTCTTCTCCGGATGAGGAGATGAAGAAGGTTGTTCTTAAAGTAGTGTCTCAGTGCGCCAGCACTGATGGTGTGACAGCAAGCTACCTGAAAGAGCACGTTTTGACCGACTTCTTTAAGAGCTTCTGGGTAAGGCGAATGGCTCTTGACAGGAGGAACTACCGCCAAGTTGTCGATACCACCGTCGACCTTGGACAAAAGGTTGGCGTGGGTGAGATCCTCGAGCGCGTCGTCAACAATCTGAAAGATGAGAGCGAGCCTTACCGGAAGATGACGGTGGAAACTGTTGAGAAACTCATTGCAGCCCTGGGCGCGGCGGATATTTCCGAGAGGCTAGAAGAGAGACTTATCGACGGTGTTCTCTACGCCTTCCAGGAGCAGAGTATTGAGGATATTGTGATTCTGAACGGGTTTGGAACAGCGGTCAACGCACTTGGCACTCGTTGCAAGCCGTATCTTCCGCAGATCGTCAGTACTATTCTTTGGAGATTGAACAACAAGTCCGCCACTGTCCGTCAGCAGGCTGCAGACCTCATTTCTCGCATTGCAATGGTTATGAAGCAGTGTGGAGAGGATGCACTGATGGGGAAGCTTGGTATTGTACTCTACGAGTACCTGGGTGAAGAGTACCCAGAGGTCCTTGGTTCCATTCTGGGTGCTCTACGTTCCATTGTCACCGTTGTCGGTATCAACCAGATGCAACCACCCATTCGAGACTTACTTCCTCGCCTTACACCCATCCTGCGGAACCGTCATGAAAAGGTCCAGGAAAACACCATCGACCTTGTCGGCCGTATTGCAGACCGTGGTCCCGAGTCTGTCAATGCTCGAGAATGGATGCGTATCTGTTTCGAGTTGCTTGACATGTTGAAGGCTCACAAAAAGGGTATCCGTCGTGCGGCAAACAACACTTTTGGTTTCATCGCCAAAGCAATTGGTCCCCAAGATGTTCTGGCAACATTGCTTAACAACCTACGTGTACAGGAACGTCAGTCACGTGTTTGTACTGCTGTCGCCATCGGTATCGTGGCTGAAACTTGCGCCCCGTTCACTGTCCTTCCAGCCCTGATGAACGAATACCGCGTACCTGAATTGAACGTCCAAAACGGTGTCTTGAAGGCCATGTCCTTCTTGTTCGAGTACATTGGCGAAATGGCAAAGGACTACGTTTATGCCGTTACGCCCCTTCTCGAGGATGCTCTTATCGATAGAGACCAGGTGCACCGACAGACCGCCGCCAGCGTTGTCAAGCACATTGCTTTGGGTGTGGTCGGCCTTGGGTGTGAAGATGCAATGGTCCATCTTCTCAACTTAGTATTCCCCAACATCTTTGAAACCAGTCCTCACGTTATCGACCGTGTTATTGAAGCCATTGATGCTATCCGTATGGCTGTTGGCACGGGAGTGGTCATGAACTATGTCTGGGCAGGCCTGTTTCACCCTGCTCGCAAAGTCCGTACACCATACTGGCGGCTTTATAACGACGCATATGTGCAAAGCGCGGATGCAATGATTCCATATTATCCGACCTTGGAAGATGATGGCTTGGAGAGATCTGAATTGTCCATAATAGTTTAAAAGCGACTTGCTTGCTTATGTATCGTATCATTTCACTTCCTAACTGTTAAGTTCGTTTCGCTGGCATTATGAGCCTGTTTAATCGCGCACGGTGTTCTTGATGGTGGGATTGGCGTGTATTTATTCTCATGGGGCCAGGTATCAGATATAAGAAATGACATTATGGTTATGTCAGTCACCGATGCCATCGGTTACTTATTTAGCGTAATGCATCAGACTAGTGATCGGACGTCCGATATTGTGCTTCGTTCCCCCGCATTGCTATGCGGATGCTCGGCGAAGGTCCGCGGCTACGAGAGTGTCTTGACTCAATCTCCGACTACTCAGCTATATATATCCAAACCTATTGCGAAAACATCTATCCTGAATCAAACTCGAGCTCCATTAGCAGTAATGGCTCTCCCTCCTCACTGCGACGTCCTCGTCATTGGAGGCGGCAATGCCGGTTTCTGCGCCGCCATATCAGCAGTTCAATCTGGTGCTCAGAAGGTGATCATCATTGACAAATGTCCTGAAAACTGGGCGGGAGGAAATTCTTACTTCACTGCAGGAGCATTCCGGACTACCCATGGTGGTCTGGAGGATCTCCTTCCTATTGTGAATAACGTTGATCCGGCCACCGCGCAGAAGATTGATATGAGTCCGTACACAGCGGCTGACTTCACGAATGACATGGAGCGAGTGACAGGAAAGAGGGCGGACCGTGAGCTCAGCCGAGTCCTCGTCGACGATTCGAATGCAACTGTCAAGTGGCTTGCGGAGAATGGTGTTCGGTTCCAGCTTTCTTTTAACCGACAATCGTATGAGGTGAACGGTCGGATCAAGTTCTGGGGGGGTCTAGCCTTGAAGACCCAGGATGGAGGCAAAGGGCTCATTCAAGACCACCTCCGGACGGCTCAGAAACTGGGTATTGATGTTTTCTTCTCAACGGCTGCAGAGAGGCTCGCCACAGACCCAGTGACCCGTGCTGTATCGTCGGTGTCGGCTGTGCACCATGGCCAAGTGAAGGTGATCAAGACAAACGCCGTGGTACTCGCTGCTGGTGGTTTCGAAGCCAACTCACGGATGAGAGCACAGTTTCTGGGGCCCCATTGGGACACCGCCTTAGTTCGCGGTACCCCGTATAATTCGGGCGAATGTCTCGAGATAGCCATCCGCGATGTATCAGCTAAACAAGTTGGCAACTGGTCCGGGTGTCACTGCGTGGCATGGGACGCAAATGCACCCGCCAATACAGGGGACCGCGAGATCTCCAATGAGTTTACCAAGTCTGGCTACCCATTAGGGATCATGATCAACCGTCAAGGCTCTCGATTTGTGGATGAAGGCTCGGACCTACGCAACTACACCTATGCTATGATCGGGCGACAAATCCTGCATCAGCCCGGTCATGTTGCGTTCCAAATCTGGGATTCGCGGACAATCTCCTGGCTGCGGGAGGAAGAGTATCGACCAGAAGTGGTGCAGCACATTACAGCATCGTCGATATCAGAGCTGGCGGCGAAATGTGCGGCGGAGCATGGTCTGGAGGACAAGGATCGGTTCGAGCGGACGATCCATGAGTTTAATAACGCAGTTTATGAGAGTCAACGGCTGAATCCTGGCCAGCAATGGGATCCGGCCGTAAAGGACGGCCTCTCAACTCAGTCGAATGCATGTACACTCAGCGTCCCCAAGTCCAATTGGGCGTTGCCTATCGACCTGCCTCCGTTCCTGGCTGTAAAGGTCAGTGCGGGTATCACCTTTACATTTGGTGGTTTGGAGGTGAATCCAGAGACAGCTGCTGTGGTTTCGTCTACGACGAACTGTGAAATCCCTGGGCTATACTGCGCTGGGGAGATGGTTGGGGGACTCTTCTATGACAATTATCCCGGGGGTAGCGGGTTGACGTCGGGAGCGGTTTTTGGACGCAGGGCAGGGAGAGCTGCTGCCAGGGCTTCTACGATTGCTGTCCGATGATATTGTTCTCTGCGTGGACAGGGATTCAGTCGATTGATGTCAGATGCTGCACTTGGTGGTACTTGGTGTTACCCAGTGCTACCGTCTGTACTACTTTGATGTCCGATTTGGTGCCGTACATATGAATCGGACACTGGTGGAATTTAAAGTAGGCTAGGGTGTTGCACGACATTTACTATTCTTTTTATTATGTATCTTTTCTGTTCTTCTTCCATTTCCATCTGTTCTCTCTTTCGCCATGAAAAAAATTCATGAGTCTCAGAATAATGATTATATATATTCAGGTATATCCCATTGGACCAAGTGCACCCCGGGTAAATATCGGATGACAGGCATTCCGCTTCGTATCTACGGCATATATATTAAACGGGTGTATATTGATATCATGAATCTACCTGATATACTCTCTGTGGGAAACTTCTATACATCGCTGACATATACTACATACACATACTACTACTGATTGTGAACATAGAGATGCTGACATAAGCAGAGGAGCAACAATACACATTATGTCCACTCCCAGTATCTGGGAACGGTTCTGTACCACCACACCAACAAACTCAATAGACAATCATTACAACTATGGGAAAGCCTACTAATATCTCTCCTTACTTTAAGAGCCATAAACTGTCGCACACACATACACATACACATTGACACCTTTCTTGCAAGCCAATTTGCAAAATATAATCAAAAACTACTTTGTCAAGAAAAAAAAAATCGATTAAATTCTGCCTTTGATTTAGTTGATTTGTCTTATTTTTTCTCTCTCTTTTCTTCTTTACTGATTTGCCACATGTCGCCGATGCCAAGCATTCGCCCTACAGGCCGTGTCTGTAGTTGACTAAAGTAAAGTGCCGCGTAAGCCTTCTCCATCGTCCTTGTCATGTGCGGGCTTGGCGGCAGGGATCTGTGGGGAAAGGCCAGCCAATGGCCGAACATTCTCGGATGAGCCCTGCAGACTGAGTGGTCGTCATGGAATGGTTCAGGGATTGCGTGGGATTTTGGAACGTCTGTATCAGATATGTTGTTATGATGACCTTCTGACTGGTTCGGAGGTCACCTCAGTCTTGTCAACTAGGGATGTGTCTACGCAGGACCCTGGATTATGAGAATACTACCCATCCTTTGATTTAATTTTATCTATTTATATATGCTGGATTGTGAGGTATTTTATTTTTTCTTGCTAGATTAAATCAGATGGATTGATAGTGGATGCTTTGGCTTGGGAAGGAAGTCAGCGAACTAATCCACTACTAGTAGTTAGTAAGGGTCTGAATGGGCGCTCGAGCGCTGGCCTCCTAAATTGGGGTTTTACATTTCCATAATTTTTTATTTTATTTTTTATTTTGCATTCACGAGTTAAGATTTCATACCATTCATTTCATTTGAATAATGTTTTTGTTTGCAGCCGTGTGGATTTTGACTGGCTCGGAATGAGGAGGGAGAAGTACCTCAATCATGTCGGTATGTACGGAGTATAATGGAGCTACTATAGGTATTCGTCGGCCCTTCGATAGCGAGTCGAAGCCTGGTGACAATCGATAAATCAGATAACCAATGCCTAATAGAAAAAAAAAAAAAAGGTAAAAGAAAATGTCGATCTATTAGACATCCCAGCACAGAACGAGGAACGGCAAATACCGATACTCATCTATCTACTAGTATCTATCTGCAATGCAGACACCACAGCATGGTACCCCTGCATCCTCCCCTCGCTCACCTCACCTCCGGACACGCGCCCCTGGTTTTTGCCTAGTAGGGTTGAATCGCATGGAAATACTTTCCTTGATGTGGCTGCTTTCTCCTACTCAATTTCCCTGTTTCCGTCGGCGAGACCGAAAAGGAAAGTTAGGGCACAGGGTAACTCGTAGCTAAACTTCTTCTCGTCCCGTCTTGGGGGCGAGAGGTCCGAGAGGAGTGCATTACGAAGCGACCTGAAATTAACAGCGATTAAAATAGAACATATCGCCGTCGTTGTCCGCGAAGGCAAATTTGCAGTTGCAATCGTCGTGTCGAATGAGACTCTGGGGTGGAGGGAGAAACGAGATAGTACCTGCGTTGCCCCTCGGTTCATGTGAGAGATCAGGTACCGAGCGTCACTTTTGTGTGTTCAGACATTTCGTATCTGCACATGGACTGCTAGCTTCGTGTAAAGATACTACACACTGCATAGCATTACTTTACGGACACTACGATGGTTTTCTTCCCGTCCCCATCGTGACCGGTGGTAGACTAGATGACGACCCCCATCCGGAAGGATCGTCTCTATATGAAGAGGTCCCCATAATGATACTCAGGAACAGAAATCACCACTTTCTATTCTTGTCCATGTCATTTTACCCAACTGCCCCTTCCAGTTAGCCCCAGATGCAGGGACTCCTCTCCATCCCACCTGGCAGTCGTAAGCTCAAACGCTTTGATCAAGGTCTGCCTCGACCCATGTTTGCATTTTGGGGTCTAGGAAACGGGTGCCAGTCAGACCGAATCCACTGCAAGGTGACAACCACTGTACGGAGTACGTACGCAATCATTCAATCTATTTCACCGAGTATTAGCCAAAGAGAAATTTGGATTCCTGCATGCGGGTTTCAAAGTTAGTTGGATGCAGTGTCTGTGTGGTTTCATACTGAGATTCCTCCATCCATCGTCTCTCCCTTTCATGAACGACCAGCACATGCCCACCACCGCCATTGACATACGCCAAGACCGTGGGGCTCCACTTTCTGCACACTAGATGTGTTTTTCCCGTCGGGGATCACGCCAAAGGCTGCTGCCAGGTGAAGCTTGTTCAAGGGTCCTTGTTTGACCATTCATCTTTGGGACTCTTGAAGAGAGAGAAAAACATTAGAGATGTTGTCGTAGGTTACTCCGGACTATAATTGAAGATCTATAGTTTGACTGGCACGTTGAGTTCACCACGAGTATCAAAGCCAATGATGAGAACCAGCCGCAAACGCAACCAGCAAGGTAGAAATTTTACTCTGAAGAACAAAAAACAGGGATACCCCTGAGACCTACGTAATGCTGCTTAACCAGTAGAACAAGAGTTAATCAAACAATGGATAACAAGTCGTTCTATTACAAGCATCACTCGACCCCCTTCTCATGGCAGCCCAATATGACGGTTAGGGCCCAGTGATATCATGCGCGAAATCAAACTCCAGTTAGAGTGCTGTTCTTGAAAAGGGTGGGACGCCAGGTCCGGCTCTAGTGTGGATGAACGGTGCGTTTCATCTGACTGCTAGCCGCAACCCTGAGAGTGGCAGTGTTGTGGAGCCGAGCCAGGATCGCACGCAGGGATTCAGGGTAATGGCTTGCGGGGGAGCGTGCTTTTCTTTTTCTCATTTTCCAATGGGGGAGGTATGCTATTGATGTTGCCCAGTGGGTAATACTATTTTCTTTTTCTGGTATTTTGGGAAAGTCTTTTCAATTCCAAAATACCCCAAAGCGACCCAACAACCACCATCATGCCCCCGTTAAAACACAGCCAAAAGCAAAACTTCCACGATACCATACCCGAAGCAGTAAGGTTCCCCCAAAATAAGGAAAGCTTCGTGAGATGTGCACGCGTCAGCTCCTGTGGGCCCGATTACTCTGATTGGGTTATCTGGTCGAGCCAAGCTCGGCTATCGACTATCTGCCGTCCCTGGGGCATGTGGCTGCATCACCCTGTCTTTTCCTTAAAAATGAATCATGCCTGCGCACCAATCGCGTGTGCCGTGAAATTTTCTTAGTCGTTGCCCTTTTTGCAGTAGGCTTATCTTAGTTCGGATAGGGGATGTGGGATCCGCTCATGAACTATACCTATCTCAGAATAGTGATTACCATTCCAGGACTTGGTGCTAACCATGTGTGTGGATTGCATCCTGGATTGAGTTGGCTAGTCAACCTAACTAACCTACTTAAACTTAGCATACTCTTTCGAAAGAGTTTAGCACTAACCTCTCTAAGCTACTGAACGAGGCTACTGGGTAGGATTTACCGATGTAGGCAGTTGGTTGTCGGGAATCGCGACCAATTGAGAGTTATCAACTTCCTCTAGCGGAATGCGCGTAGGCATAGCCTGCCCTTTTGGGACTGTTAGCTGGATCGAGTACCAACAGTTTAACTCTCCTGATGGAGTCAGGTGCTATTTGATCAAAATTTTTGGGGGAGGGGGGGGACACGCGGGAGTGAACAACTTCCCCCCCTAATACACGACAAGTTTAAATCGTAAAATTAATATCCATACTGGATGGAGATTTTCGTTTGGTCCTCATGGCTCATGGTCTATCGGTTGCTCTATTAGCTTGGCGCTTCGACTGGTTCTTCCGGCCTTTCGGGGACCTCAGCGCGCGGGTTGTGATCCGTACCCCGGGGCCCGTAGAACTTCAAGATACAAGGTTTTCTCTAGTCCATGGAACGGAGAGATTCTGGAATTCCAGGTACGCTGTTCTATGTGTGTCGATGGGGACGAAACAACTACCAACTAATGTATCAACCAGTCTGCAGACAATCCCGCAAGCATACCTAACCAGCATCCTTCCCTATTCTCAAATTTCCCTCACACATATACATATACTATCCGATACTATATTCCAGGATGTAAACAATGTATTATACTAACTCCTTTCCTTTACTGGTTCTTGCGTCTGTACCAGAGACAACAACGCCAATCATGACGATCTGCCGAATGGATCTGCCAAGATGGACCCCGTGCAGATGACAGATGTTTAAAAAAAAATTAGAATTTCTTTTTTCTCTGGTTTTTCTTTTTACCCAATACCTGAATCATTATATGTCTCATCCGGGAAAACGATTTTTCATAATTAAAGTACCGGGGATCATCAGTTCCTGAAGACTCAAACTCGACCTTCTGGAACTAAATTGCCGATGGCGGTCCCCATATGCCGAGATTGTCCGCCAATTTCTATGACTGTTGTTTTAGTTCCTTTTGGGTTGTTTGGAAATGTAGGTAGTTCTTATTGTGCATGTATACGGAAGTCAACTGGATG